AGACGTTTTTATATCGTCATCCGATATATATCGTTATATTGAACAGCCCTAATATGTAATATTTCATCCTAGTTCTGCTATAGGTTTCTTCCTTTTACAAGGTTGTTTCTCCTTCCCACCTTTGTCAAGCACTTGCTCATAGTGGGTCATCTGATTGCTGGGGTTTTCTCTGTATTATTTTAATGTCTTTACCTTACAATATAAACCGGCTTGAGGTGACTGTTGCTGTGATTTTGCACTATATAAATAAAATTGAATTGAGCTGAATATATAGCATCAAACTGACTTGACTCTCATCTCGAAGAACATATGTCATAGCGAGAGCTGGGTCTCTGGCTAGGACTTAAAGACCAAACAGGAGTTTTCAGCGTAAAGGTCGTCGGTGTGCACACCCAAGTTGTTTCTTGCTGCTTTTTTCCTTTTTTTTCCAATATTTACAAGGTTATTCACTGTGAAATTTGTAATGTGCTGAGGCACCTGAGGGAGAATATTCAGCATAAACAACCTGAGTTGCGATGTATGCCAATAAATAACACACTGAAAAGTCTGGAGCCGAAGCCACTCTGACAAAGCTCTGGTTTACTAATCAACCTGATTGCCAGATTTGGCTTCCTGCTATTCTTCCATTTCTCAGAAATGTAAGTCAAGTTGAAGAATCACTATTTTGATACACTGGAGGAGATCCAGCGGGCACTGCAGATGCTTACGTGCAAGTGATGAGAAGGGGACTTACACAGAGCGATCTAAAAATAACAGCTGTGGAAGGAGAGCAGCGATGCCTGAGGAGTCCGGCAACAAGGGCTGAATTCATATCTGACTGTTTTTTAACATTTTTGTGCAAAGTCACAGTCAAACTATTATCACTGAACAGAAATGAAAAGACACAAAGCACTTTAGATCATTTTTGGCTAAGCCAAATGCAATAACAGGATGAAGGCACACAAGGACGTTTTGAAAAGTTCTTTAGCAAGTACTTTCCTCTGTATCACAAGTTATGCCAAATATTTCAAGAATCAATGCAAACAAATTAGTTTGGCTGGTTCCTCAGTTATAAACCTGCTTTGACCTTGGGACCTGGGCCAGCTCAGTCCCATTAGAAAGATGAGAGAAGTGCGAGGAACAGAGTGCTGCTCCATATAGTGGTAACACACAGCAATCAGGGGTAAAAATGACTGCAAGAGGAGAGAGAAAGAGGAACACACTCCAGAGAGATGAAGGATGACTAGAAAAATGTGGCTGAAAAGACTAGGTACTTGGTGAATGACCTTCAGATGAGAAAAGCTTCTACAGAGAGCAGCAAAGAGAGAAAGAGCATCCTCAGCCCTCAGCCACACACAACCCTTCTGTCAGCGTTACGAGGGCAGAGCGGTGACGAGCCAACAACACGGACACGTGAGGCACGGGAGCAGAGGAGAGGGATGGAGAGGAAAAATGAGAGGAAGGATTTAAACACAAAGACAGAGCGAGAGGGGGAAATCGAGGAAAATAAATCACGCTGAGGGAGCCACAGCAGCAGGAGGCTCTCTTTGGAGAGTGACAAGACATTAAAACACGAAGGATAAGCCATATAATAGAAGGGTGAATAAACAGAGGGGAGAGGCAGCACGAAGTCAGTTACATCACTGTGGTCTGCATGCTGCCCAGAGCCAGAGTCTTCAGCCCACAACCATGAGCCAGTCAGCTGTTGAAGACGTGGAGCTCCACCAATGACTGCTTGTA